AATAATGAGATTGAACAAGAGAATAGTGATGAGATTTATGAGGAAATAGATGAAGGAATTTGTGAAGATATTGTAGAAGAGATTGAACAATTTTACTTATTGGATATTGATAATACATCAGCAATGGAATTGGATTTAATAGATGAATGAATTCTAAGCTTTTAATGTCGAATTACGAAGAAAATCCCATATGTATCTCAATATGAAGTAAACTAGCATTGATAGTTATAGCTAAACATATTAGATATTTATTAATTTTTTTGCATTCTTATTTAAAGGTCTTAAGGCATACGTATAAACTATGAATTTCAAATGCTTTTTAATCGGTTAAAAATTATGAGAAAAATTTGGCACATATATAATTTTCAACTTCGAACTTTCTTAGCAATTCTTTTTTTTTATTGGATTTTTTTTAAAAAATTTAATAATAGAAAAGGGATTACCAAAAAGGTTGTCTATTCATAATACATATGTATTTCTTTTCAGGAATGTATACCTTAAAAACAAATTAAATGCATTAAAATTATTAGCTTAACAATCACAATAATTCCTTGATAATAAAGAATTTTACGAAAATAGCATAATTCTTCAATAATAATGAAGTCATATATTATTACATGATCAAATTTTGAACATATATTGGGTATTATTAGGTTATTATACGGTTATTATACGGTATAATAACCTGATATTTATACCAAAGTTTATTATACCGTATAATTACCAACCCTAATCACATCCAACTTTATAAACCTAGTATAATAGTTAATTGTATAAATTATACTAGTGACGCAGCCGAATCAGACTAGTGATGTATCTATATTTAGGTAATTAATTTCAACTGATCATAGTGAAGTTACCACTTTTTGTTGTATTGATGTAGGTCGTAATTTCAGTCGTATTAAAAAGAATAAAATATAAAATAGCATAGTATAATTTTACATTTACTTTATATAATATTTTTAAAAAAACTTAGAAAACTCAACTTTCTTTTAACCAACTTTGTTCAGCTGATAACTCAACTCTTTTAGACTAAATACACCTTTTGTCCAGATTTCTTCAACTACCAAAAAGTAAAAATCTTTTGGTTTACTTAATTAGAAGATATTGTACTTGTATATTACTACTTCTATACTCTATATCCCCAATATCAACAGGCAAGCACCAATTCTTTTGCTTTTAATTTCTATATTTTTGAAAAAGCAAAACCTTGGCTTCTTATTTATTTAACTAAGAAATCATTATTAGAAAATATACTGATATCTTTTTAATAATCTAATTTCTATTATTCATTAGAAGTTGTATAGTTTACCTTCAAAAATTTTTCTGCACATAATGATCATCCTGATTTTTTAAATTTATTTATGTTAGCTCTACTTCTAAAGCTAACCCTAATATTTTAAAATTTTATATTTTTTTATTTTTAAATAAAATTTTATTTTAAGCACCACAATATACTAATATATTTATCTAAAGGTCATATTTTTAATAATCTGTTATATAAACTTATATATAAAGAATAACAAACAAATATTTAATAAAAAAGTGTTTAGCTTCTATATAAGATAATAAGTAATAAATATTAAAAAATAGCTACTCTAAATTGTAAAAGAAAGAACTATTATTAGTTGTTGAAGCATTTGAACATTTTTGAGTAGTGAAAGATTGGTTTGTCATTAAATAATTGGTTTGATAATAGGTAAGAGTAAATTTAGATTTAATTTTTAAAAAACAGCTTTTTAAATTTATTTTCAGCTAATAATTAAACATTTTTTTTTATAATTCAGCAATTCTGCCTCTGTTTATTTAAGATTAAGCTACTGTATATTCATATAATAATGCACATCTGTGCATTATTTTGAGCACTTGTGCATTATGTTGAAATGCACATGTGTGTTATTTTAGATCAATATTGCTAATAATTTAATAGATATATGCTCTATACTTATATTTATTGTATAAACTCTTAGAGGCACATTATTTTAGGATACACATATACGTTATTTTGAGTCAAATAGGCGATTTTTAAAAAAGTGACAATTTCGAAATAACACACATGTGCATTATTATACGCAAATACAGTATTCAAGAATTATACATTTTTATCTGTAGTTATAGCTAATTTAACCAAACTAAAGACTCACCCTGGCTTTTCCCAGGTATAACCTGCCTCAGTAGTCCTTGGCCTTCCTTCAGATCCTTAACTTCTAAGGATTTATTTCCCTTTGGTCATCAGCTAGCAACTACCCACTTTGTCAGTACTACCTAATTATATTTATATTCTACAACATAATTGCGCTTTGGCCATTGCTATAACTTGCAAATAATGCAAAGCATCAAATCGTTAATTTAAGGTAAGATTATTACATTGTGTATTCTCTATTTTATAAATTCTAAAAATTTTGCTATTACTTAATTCCTTCTGTGATCTACTATAGTTACCCCAATTCATCTTTTTATACTTCATTTCTTTTCTTTTTACTGGTGCTTTAATCTTCTACTTTTTTCCTTCTTTTGTGTTTTTTCCAGTTTCTAAGCTTCACCTTATTCTTCTTGCTTTTGATTATATTCTTTATACAGATTTCATCCAGAAGTATTCGTCTGCAGCTTTTTCTTTCTTCTAGTTTCTTTAATATTATTTTTAATTCTTCTGTTTCTAGGTCTTGGTTAATTTGTCCAGATCTTCTTTTTCTCTTTCATCGAAACTTTGTACTTTCTTTCTTTCATCTATTTCATAGTCTTACATTTTTTCTAATAAGTGACTTTTAGGATCTTGTATACTTCTCTTTATCTTTCGGTCATTCTAAAACCTCTTTACTGTTTTCAATATGAAGTTTTTCTTTTTTCTCTTTCAATTCTTTACTGTTTAGAGCTGCATATCTGCTTTCTTTTTTCTATTCTATAAATTTATTTTTCTTCTGTATAGCTTTTTTTGCAGTTTAAAGTACTTCTCTTGATTTTTAGCCACTTTTCTTATACTTCTTCTTGCTATTCTAAACCTGGTATCTTTCTTTTTTCTTTTCTAATTCTTGACTTCTATTGTTCTTCCTGTTGCTGCATCTTGTATGATATTATCTTCATTTATATTAGTGTTTGTTAATGATTTAATTCATTTATTCCATTCATCTAAGATTTCTTTTTTCTTCTTTTTCTAATTTTTAATATTATCTTGTTTATTTTCTAAGTTTATTTGATATATAAACTCTGCTATTCACCTTAATATTTTCTTTTGTAGCTTTTTGATTTATATTTTGACAGAGTTTTCTTCTTCTATTAAGGTTAAAGCCAAAATTTTTGGTCTTGATTCTTCGGTTAGTTTGTCTAAAGTTTCCTTCTCTATAAGGCCTCAATATTTCTTTCTGTGTTTCTTTTCTTCAATATTTCTTCTTTTTCTTTAGCTTCTTTATGTTTTTGTTCTAGCAGCTTTGCATTCTGTTAAACTTGCATCTTCTTTATTTCCTTTCTAATTTTATTTTTCTTTTTTTCTTCATATTGTTTTATTTCTATTAATTCTACTAATTCTCTAAAGCACTGTACTAATAGTCCTAATATTATTTTATTATACTGTCTTTGTCAGCACTTTCTCTGCTTATCTAGTCTTTTAAAAAACTTGAGTAAATAGAGAGTGGCAAAGATATAGTAAAAAAACTTGAAAAATTATCAATAATTTTGCTATTTGCAAGCTGTTTGGGGATTGGTATTGACTCTGTAATGCAGATCAGTTACTATTATACAAGATACACAACACATAATGAAGAATAAACAAAGAAAACATGTTAAAAAACACATGACAGATGAAAACAAAGGAGATATACAAACAAAACAACAAATCAGTCACGTGAAATAAGAAACAATAAAAAATGCTAGAACTAAACCTACAACAGCAGAACAAGCAGAAGAACGAATAGCAGCAATACATATAGAATTAAGACAATATAGAGCAAAAAGAATTAAATATACAGAACTTGCACTCAGTAAAAGAAATAATACATTATATTAAGAGGCGATACAGTTAAAAATCGATCTAACAAAATATATCCTATTAGACGAAGTAATCAGTACTATAAAAAACCTATGCATAGCAGAAAAAGAAAGGCTGTTTGCATGTAATAAAGAAAGAATGGCCACCGAGTATGCACAAGCTAGAATAGAAGCAGGATGGATAAAAAGACTAGATAAACAGAGAAAATGTCGACAAAGGCAGTATAACAAAATAAATTTAGGACTATTATTACAGTGCTTTAGAGAATCAGTAGAATTAATGAAAATAAAACAATACGAAAAAAAAAAGAAAAATACAATTAGAAAGAAAATAAGGAAAATGCAAGTTCAACAAAAAGCAAAGCTGCTAAACAAAAATATAAAGAAGCCAAAGAAAATGAAGAAATAGTGAAGAAAAGAAATACAGGAAAAGATGTTGAAGGCCTTATAGAAAAGAAAACTTTAAACAAACTAACCGAAGAATCAAGACCAAGAATTTGGATAACAACCTTAATAGAAAAGAAAAATTCTAGCGATGTACAATTTAAAAACCCACAAAAAAAAATACTAAAGTGAATAGTAGAGTTTATATATCAAGTAAACTTAGAAAATAGGCAAAATAATATTAAAAATTGGGAAAAAAAAAAAAAAAAAACTTTGGATGAATAGAGTAGACAAATTAGATTAGTAACGAACACCAGTACAAATGAAAAAAATATCATACAAGAGGCAGCAACAAGGAGAACAATAGAAGTCAAGAATTGGAAAAGAAAAAAAAAAGACACTAGGTTTAGAATAGCAAGAAGAATTATAAAAGAAGTAGCCAGAAATCAAGAGAAGTACTTTAAACTGCAAAAGAAGTCACACAAAAGAAAAGCAAGCGTATGAAATAAAAAAGAGAAAGCAGACATGTAGTTTTGAACAGTCAAGAATTGGAAGAGGAAAAAGAAGAACTTCTTATTTGAAACAGTAAAAAGGTTTTTAAAAAGACCAAAAAGTAAAGAGAAGTATACTAGATCTCGAAAGATATTTATTAGAAAAAATGCAGAACTATGGAGTAGAAGAAAGAAAGAAAGCACAAAGTTCTAATGGAAAGTAAAGAAGGACCTGAATAAGCTAACCAAGATCTAGAAATAGAAGAATTTAAAGTAATATCGAAGAAACTAGAA